GCACTTGGTGGACACAATTTTATTGTGGTGGAAGTGTAGGTGTGATGAAAAGTTTAGGAGAACAACCATTAACACATAGACGGAGTTTCATAAAGAGTTTCAAAAGCAATTTTATACTGAGTATGATAAGGACAAGGCTCAATTGAAACTGAAGAAGCTGACCTGATGTGGTGAAGTAAATTAATATGTGTAAGAATTTCTAAATTGTTGTTATAGTTTAACAATCTCAATGAAAAAAAAGCACTATTTTCATTTATGGATGACTTGAAGCTATGAGTGAAGCTAGAGCTTCAATATAAAGGCGTGCAAGTTAAGAGTCTGATCAAGTTTCTCTCATCCTAGCTTAAGGAGGAAGGTAATGGTGAAGGTAAAAAAAAAAGAAAAGATTTAGAGAAAGAAATTGAGGAGAAGTCATGGCACCATTAAACCAAGCAATTGCTAAGTGGAATAATAAGGAAAAAAAGCTTGCCAACTGTTTTTATGTAAAGGATCGCATTGAATTAGGGACTACCTTACATGTAACAAGCTTATGGCCATCCTATTGAGCAAAGAAGAACCAAGTAACGAACGTATGGAGGGACTTGGTGAGCGATCACACTTAGGGAGCCTAGTGTTGCACAAAGAATAGGAAACCTATTAAATTACCCATGAAGTCCAAGAGAAGGACCCGTGCAATGGAAGGGAATGCCACCATTCAACACCAAAGGAGCTTAGGAGCATATTGAGATTAGACAACATCGCGTTATACTAAGGGCAACAATAAATGTCAGTAGAATGTTGTATGATTTGAGAAAAACCAAGATTAGTGGCAATAGGAATGCCATGCACCAAATCCAAAACACCAAAAGGCCTAAGACATGGGCGTAGAACTACTAAGACTAACCAAGCACTCGTGAAACCAAAAAATCGAGGCAATAATGGATTGGTCCACAGTCAGTGCCCAAAGAGACAACGCATTTTAAAAAAGTGTGCACAAGGTAAGAGTACTAAGATAATGATGCTTGACGGATCTGCACATGATAAGACAATGTAAGGTAAAGGTGTCCTTACAAAGTTTCACAAGCAAATAAGCTAGTAAAATTGTGGTAATTGCCATTAAAAAAGTCATAATGTTAAGGGCTACAAGGCTGTGTGACAAGGGAAACATCACATCAATGAAGAATGAGGAAACAAAAGAAGCAAACACAATTTGCAACAGCAACTATTGCTACTTCTCAGAACACCACATATCAGCAATAATTAATACAAGGAGCTAGTTTGCATTAATTAATTGATAGCTAGCTAATTGTGACCTTTCTTGTATAGAAGTTGTGAATTTTGATAGCTGTATGGTGGCTCTGTCTCATATAATTTTGCATTGGTAAAGAAAGTGAGTTTCTTATATGTTCAAAGTGTTATTGCTTACAAAGGAAGATGATACTGTATTTACATAGTAAATGTTATGGTAAATTTTGTGTATATTTGATACTTTTGACATAAAGTATGATTTTATTTTGAATAATTGATTATATGATGAATTTTTAAGGTCTATTTTCGCTAAAAATGCTAATTAAAATAAAAAAGAGAGAACTTGTTGCCTGAACTTGCCTAAAAAGCTTTAATTGTACAAGTTTCATTTACACTATCATTAAACATTTTGAATATGCATGCCCTTAATTCAATTTGAGCACATATGAGATATGAAAAATCATTTTTTGGTACACTTTAAAATCTTGTAAATAAACCTCTGCCATCACCAATTGTTTTAAGATAAAAACAATCTAAAACCACAAACAATAAAGCTAGAAGGAAGGCTAAGAAGTATTCCATCATATCCAAGTGGTTTCACAATGTCACATTAGGATCCTCATCATAGTCAAAATATAGTTCACTAGAATGTCACATTAAGATCATCATCATAATCAAAATCTAGTTCATTAGAATGTCTTATTCTTTTCACCTCTGTAGCTCTTCTTTAGTTTTCCTTGCCCACTAGCAAAATAACCTCCACCATTGGACCGACCAAGACCATAATATGATTTTCCATTATCTCAATTAACTGCAGGTGAAGTGATAGAAGATAATGAGAATAGCTTATCTAAAAACACTATGTTCTTGAAATTTAAGGTCTATTGAAGGCCTAAGAATTGTTTAATCCAAAGTATTATTATGTTATGGCTTGCTAACCTTTGAAATGTTTTTATACATCTAAGTATCATTAATACAATTTTTCCCTTTGGTTGAGAAAAAAAAAAGAGTAGCAAAGTCTAGAAACAAAAAATATTGAAACCAAGAGTCCAAAATACACCACACCAAGCTTTTCTTTCTTGCCATGGAGCTCATATACGAGTTGTAGACTTTTGCCTCAATTGATTGTAATTGATAATATTTTGTTTTAAACATAGAACACAGGGCTTAAGTTACTCTTATTATATCGGTGCGATCTTCACACTGAACATTTTGGTCAAATTAATTTTTTAATGAACTTTCAACCTTTTTACAAAAGTTTGGCCCCATCCTTCAACTTAAATATGATATAAAGTACTTGACCTCATACTAGAAATGAATAACAAGAATCAAGTCTGAAAAAGAATGGTTAAGGCTCGATGGATACTTTGTTCATTGGGCAAATGAAGACAAGTGGGATATTTGGTCATTGAAGTTGGAATGGTTAAAGCCAAATATATATGCAACTAAGAATTTTGAAGAAAGTTATTACCAACATTATCCTCTTCATTTTTTTTAATGGATGAACAAGATCAAGCACAAAAATTTCTTTCTTTTTGATAGATTCTCTACTTAGGATCAAGTATTAAATTTTTTTTTATTATAGTCTTTTTATAAAATTAAAAGTGAAAGGGAGAGAAAGGGAAGGAAAAGTTAGAAAAGAAAGAAACCCAAACAAACGTTAATTTTTTTTAGTAAACAAATATAAAAACAAAAAAAAAACACAAAGGTTGTTATTTTCCTTTATAAAACATTAATTGATAATTTAACAATGTTACTATCTTTGGGAAAAAAAGTAAAACATAGAGTTTTATATGAGAAAAAAATAACTTCAAGGTGTGATATGAGAAAATACCATACCACAAGGAGTTTATATGGAGTTTACCTTATAAATAAACAAACAAGTATATTACGTTAACATATAAAAAAATAATGACTTAATAACAAAAATGCCCCTAACTTATATGAGTTTTACTATTGAGCCCTTACATTTTTATCGTACCCAATTAAGCCCTTTTTCTTTTATTTGTACTCAAAGAACACCTTATTCTTTTATTTTATCCAAATGAAAATGTAATGGACGTTTTTTCTAATGTTAACTATCACTTACTATATATATGTGGCAGATGACTTGACATGTTAATGAAGGAAAGTGGATGTTGACTAGATAATTAAGGTTGATGATATAGAATTTATTGTGATGTGGTTTTTTCCTCCTTTTAGTGCTAAATGTCAAAAGTTGATTGGTTGGATAAAACAAGTAATTAAGGTACAAAATTTTGTGAAAATTAATTTAGGAGGAACCATCCCTTGCTTTTTCCTTAACCCAATTCTGCTTATATTTTTTGTTTTTGTTCTAATCAATTATGAATTTGAAATTGCAAGAAAATCTAGCTCCTTCTCACTTTATTGTCTATTTTGATTCTAAAATTGAATGAAAACCTAAATTTGTCTTACTCTATTGTCCATTTCAATTATGAAATTGAAAAAAAAACCCATAATTGTTCCTTGGCCAATCTTCCTTTGTTATCAATTTTGATTTTGAAATTAATGAAATGGCCTCAAATTGCACTTCATCCATCTCATGTAAAAAGAAATCAAAACCAAGTGGAAGAAATATATTACAACCAAAGTGAAAGGAAACTAAGAAAGAGAACCAGTTTATTATTTCTTCAAAATGAAATGTCTTAGATGGACAACATGGAAGGAATCACAATAAGGTATAGGTTGTATAATTAACCTGAGTACAAAGCCACAATTGTAAGTTTTTTTGTGACAAGATGAGAAAAATTACACAAAAGACTAAAATACTCATATATAAGTTGAAAATGGAGGATGTAGAATTGAGAAAGGACAACAAGGTATTAACAATGATGAATACTATAGAAGAAGAAAGAAAAAGGGTAAGGTGTTCAAATTGATAACTAACTTGTCACAAAAATGAAGGAAAACCAAGGTTCATATGGTTAGAGTTTTGAGATTTAGAGAAGAAGAAGAAGAAGAAAGAAATCAAAGAGATGAAAGAACTGAAGGAGATTTGAGTCGAGGGAAGATTTGCTAGGCGTTGGGATGTGATTTTTGAAGAAAAAGAGATGTTGTCCATGGGAATGAGAAAGTCTCAATGAAAAAACAACACGTTTGGTATAGGGAATAGCTATGTTATTCCCCCTCTATTCCCAACCATTTATTGTACCTTTGTTTGGTTTGGTTGTACAGCAAAGAATAAAAATTTCTCAATAATATCTATGCCTTAAAATGGGTAAAAAGTCTTTTTTAGTTATTACCGGTTCTCCCCTTGGTATTGTCTAGTCCATGTCTCATGGAATAGCTGTAACATTTATAATGACTAAATTATCCCTCTCAAATTTACAAAATTACAACCCTGTCCATATAAAACACTTTTTTTCTCTCTCTTCCTCTTTTCCTTCTTTCTCTCTATCGTTCTTCCTCTCATCAGTCTTTGTCGTTCTTCCTCTCAACTATTCTTCTTCTTTTCCCTCTTTCTCTCAGTCGCTTTTCCTCCTCTCCGTATTTCTCTCAGTCCTCTTTCTCTCAGCCGCTCTGTCTCTTTTCCCTCTTTCTCTCAGCCGCTCTGCCTCTTTCCCATTATTCCACGGTCCAAGTACTTGCTTATTGTGCTATTTTTTTTTGTTGAATGTGGAAATAACCCAATGTTGAATTATTTTGAAA